GATTATCTGTAAAGTTTTCCTATTAAAGAAACATGCAATATAGAGAGAAGAGTGAGATCCATACATACTAAACTATAAACTCTCTGCATATTCTGAGAGCTCTTTTTTTTTTGCCTGAGCCTGATTTATTAGTATAGCTAAAGAAATGTTTGGTAATTTCACATTTTCAAGTTCAGTAAATTTCATAAATCTGACATTTGCTTAGGGAGATAGACAAGTTGGCCATTAAATTACCTTCCAGTATCCCATTCTAAGCATTGACAATGAGATCTCGTGCACTTTGAACAATATTAGCCCAGGAATTTTTATATCCCATTGGAGTTTTTGTAGTTTGCTTTGAAAAATAGGTGCTTCTTTTCAGTTGTATGTTTGGAATTGCAAAATGATAGCCCAAAGATAAAATAAAGTAGCCCTGGATTATGAAATATTTTACTGTCAATTAAGATTTTGTTTTACTTTTTGATTAAAAACTAAGAAATATATAAAATCATCATGATATAAATGAATTTTTAGAGACTTACTAAACATATTTCAATGGCTAGTGATTTTGTTTGTATGTAGGTTTTCTTTTCAATATTTGTGCAATTATTAAATTTGAGTTTGATATATTACCACTGGAGACAAGACAAGCCATGTGAGTTTTAAATAAGGCTCAGTTATTATTGTTATTTTTAATGAAGATTCTTACATAGCATATATATTCACTTTTATTGTTTAAAAATAAAGAATTTTACATATTCCTTTATAATAGCAATTTTACAATAGGTTTCCAGAAATAAAATAATTCGCATATATAAACTATTAATTTAAAAATTAGTATTTTTTGTTTGCAAAACTCAAAGTATATATGGAAAGAGGAACTTGTGTTATAGTGCAATGGTATTAAGGCTGATATAGTTTGGGTGTGGGTATGAATTACATAGATAATTTATATTAGTAATGAATTATTTTTATTTTTGTAAAATTTTACTTTATTTTATTATTTTTTGTTATATTTATTTATTGAATCACTGTGGGAAAAGTTACAAAGCTTTCAAGATTAAGTCTTGGTCATACAATGATAAACACCTTTCCCTTCACCAGTACTTATTTTTCACCACCAAGAACCCCAATATGAAATTTCAAAGAAGATATTGTAAAGTTTATGGGAATTTTTATTTTGTGGTACATATAAGCAACTAATTATCTTTATTGTTGTGATATTTGAGATTTTCTTTGTGACGAGTGTTATATTTTGGAAGACTCAGTAAACTGAGAAGAGTAGGTTTCTCACAGTGTAAAGACTAATATCCAGGTGTTGGGAATAGCAGATTATGTTAATGTAAGAGTTAATATAACCCTTTTCAGAGGGTTCCTCTATTTATGAGTTTCCCGTCATCTCTACTTTGTAGCTGAATGAAATAATGGAGTTTACACTTTTCATCATGTTTTGCATGATAATAAGTTATTTTATTTTATTTATTCATATTACCTTTATATTTACATAAGTAGAAATGTATTACCATGGCATACTAATAAAAGGTTCTTAAAATATCTTATGGTTTCACATCAACACTTTTAGTTATTAGCTAATGACTGTAAGCTGGTTAAGTGACCTCCTCAGCCTTATGTTTTAGTCCCATAAAATAAAATTAGTTAGGAACGTGCCTCACTGATTATTTTTTTCCCCCCTTTTTTTTTTATTAGTGAAACACCATGAGGTACAGTTGTAAATTTACAATTTTTTCTGCTTGGGTTTCGATTATACAATGATCAGATACCCATCCCTCCACCAGTGCCCATTTTTCACCACCATGGATAATATCCCCCCCACCCCCATTCCCCCATCCCCCCCTGCCTCTGTGGCAGGGCAATCCCCTGTGTTCTCTCTCTCCTTTTGGGTGTTGTGGTCTGCAGAAGAGGCATTGAGTGGCAAACATGTTCAGTCCATAGTCTACTTTCGACATGCATCTCCCCTCCTGGGAGGATCCTCCAAACACCCTTTATTTGGTACATCTACACAATGGAGTACTATGTAGCTGTTAGAAAAGATGAAGTCATGAAATTTACATACAAGTGGTAAAATATGGAAAGTATCATGCTAAGCGAAATGAGTCAGAAAGAGAGGGATAGACATAGAAAGATTGCATTCATCTGGGGGATATAAAGTAACAAAGTATGAGATTAATACCCAAGAATAGCTGAGATCAGCACCAGGAGGATCACTCCATAACTTAGAGGCCAGCCGGGTATCCTAGAGGAAAGGGCAGTTCAGATAGAGAAGGGAGCCTCACTGATTATTTTAAAGACCATGTAAGAAAATTTGTAAGCCTATAACTGTACCTCATGGTTTTTCACTAATAAAAAAAGAAAAAAAAGAAAGAAAAAAAAGAAAAAAATAATAAAGGAAGATAATGATGACAAAAAAAAAAAAGAATGTGATTTGGAGCTTTTGTGTGAAATACAAGCAAGATGGCTTCTGTGTCCTCCTTTGACCAAGTGTGACAGTATTGTAGGTTGAAAACAATAAAACTATGTAAATGATTTTCATGAGACTTATAATAATGAACATTATGAGGTAAATATGACATAATATTTTAAATTGTTACTAATGTGCCCATGTATGTCATTCTATGTGGCATGTTTTTGTTTTTACTTTGGGTGGGTGTTGGGTTGATACACCTGGTGGTTCTCAGGGGCTACTCATCACTCAGTCCTCAGGGAGTACCCAGTAGTACTTAGGGAGCACCCAGTTGTACTCAGAGGAGTATGCATTGCTGAGTACTGAATGTGGGGCTCCTGCCTGAAGAGACTTTATCAGGCACTCATCCCATTGTCTTGTCTTTTGACATTACTGTTATAAAATGTGGAAGATTGTAATAAACATCTGAAGAAATGAATGCGAGATTAGAATGAAATTAGGTCCGAGTACCGGAGCAGTAGTGTAGTGGATAGGGCATTTGCCTTGCACATGACTGGCTCAGGTTTGATCCCTAGAAGCCCATAAAGTTTCTCAAGCCTTCAACGATTGATCCCTGAGAGCAGAGCCAGGAGTGAGCCCTCAGCACTGCCAGGTGTGCCTCCTCCCTCCAAAACAAACAAAAATAACGAGGTCCATGACTTTTGATGTGATTTATATAAAACAGAAGCCATGGGTTTTTAACCCTCCATATACAAAATACACATGAGCAGAGTGTTTGGGGTTAGGGCATCCTTTCTTAACATTCGTCACTGTCACTGTCCTCCCGTTGTTCATCGATTTGCTTGAGCGGGCCCAGTAACGTCTCCATTGTGACAATTGTTACTGTGTTTGGCATATCTAATACATTATGGTAGTTTGCCAGGCTTTGCCCTGCGGGCTCGATACTCTCAGTAGCTTGCCGGGCTCTCCAAGAGGGGCGGAAGAATCAAACTTGGGCCGGCCATGTTGGCCGCTTGCAAGGCAAATGCCTTACCCGCTGTGCTATCGCTCCAGCCCCATTTAGCATTTGTTATTTTGAAGAAAACAAGGAAAAATAAAGTTTTCATAAAAGATAATGAAACTCTGGGCTAGATAGATAGCACTGGGACCAAGATGCTTGCTTTGATGCAGTTGAGACCTGTTTTGATCTCCAAAATGACACACATATGGTTTCCCGAGCACCATCAGGAGTGCTCCCTGAGCACAGACCTAGGAGTAATCCCCGAGCACAAATCTCTGTGTAATCCCTGACCATTGCTGGATATGACCCACCTACGTCCCCTCCGAAGAAAAAGGGGGAGAAACAATGGGACTTTAAGAATTTGGCAGTGGGGGAGGCTTCGATATCTCTTATTTAAAATCCTGACTGCTAATTCTGTCCAGTAAAATGTGTTATCTAGTGACTGAGCCCTTTGAAAACTCTCTCTGGGAAAAACAGCCAGATATGCTATTGTGCGTACCTATTCTTGATTGCTCATACATATCTAAAAAAAGTGTAATGTGTGCACTTTTAAAATTTATTTGTAAGATTTCTTTCTTTGGCCTTGCCAGTTTCTTTCCCCTTTTGAAAAGTCAAGAGAGACTGCCTAATTCTTTCACCTTTAAGTCTTTTGCTCTGTCCGGTGATACTGCTGACATGAGTGACAATTAGTACCAATTACCATAATTGTGTTCTTGGGTAAAATGCCCCATTGCTTCTTTAGGAGCAGAAGCAGACTCCGCTTCATAAAGCGACTGAGGTTTTGATTCTCTAGGGCTGTCAGAGTTTCACAATCAGCCGTGTGCTTTTCCCTTAGCGTCTATTTCTGATCCATCTGAACAACTACATCCCTCCCTTTCAATAAAATAGGTCCATTAATGTAGTGTACCTTACTCTCATTCACTCTATGGGAGTTGTATTTTTATTACTGAAAAAGTATCACATAAATACAAATTACATTTTTTCATTAGAAAATGACTTTTCACTTATGGAAATATTCAATTAATTATGAATAGGGTTATGCTTTCATCAGGGAGAGAAATATGTAATTTTTCTTCAAGCTTCAAACACATATAATGAAATCTTTTCTCAGAATCCACTCTTAAGATGGATTTTTAAAAGTATAGACTTTATTAAAATCTCAGTTCAATTAAAATACATTCAGTTCCTTTAAATCTTTATTAAAATCTCAGGTAAAATTGTACAGCGATGTAAAAGAGACTTGTACTCTTCACCAGGTAGTTAATTCGAACAAATGACATAAAGTGCACAGTTTTGCTCTGTAGGAGAGAATAAAAAAAAATAAGCTCTGGTCTTGGACTTGGGGCTAGTTAAGGATTGGGGATGGATATTGTCTTCTACATGGCAGCATCGGGACCAAAGTTCCTTTTCCTAATATACCACTGTTTCTTGTTGCATATGAGCATATTACCTTGTATGAAAATACCTGGTGATACCACTTGGCCTATTCATAGAGTACATTTATCTCAGTACCTTACATAAAAAAGATGCTATTTAAGGATTTTATTTCGCTCTCTTCCTTGGATGTTTTTGGTACAGTGTCCCTGATTCTTTTTCAAGGGCCGCTAGAAGATGCCATTGAAGAGGAAGAGGAAGAGCATCCATCCGAGGAAACTGACCTCATCTCAAAGGGGGACTTTCCATTGGAGGAAAGCTTTTCCACAGAATTTGGGCCTGAGAATCTGAGCTGTGAAGAAGTGGAATACTTTTGTAACAAAGGTAATCTTGAATGGTTAGCTGCACTCTTTGAGTTCTTTTATTCTGACAGTGTGGCCAGGTTTAGAATGCACACGCACAGGTAGAATAGAAGGAAAACGATGTTTCCAATGGTCTTCGAACCCACGCAAACTTTTTCCCAACAGAGCATTGTAAGGAAGAAAAAGAAATGATTCTACGATAATAAATCACTTTGTAGACTTTAAGAAATGTTTTCATGTTGACTGGCTAATTCAATATGAAAATTTTTATGTTGATTGCCCAACGAACCATAGCACGTATTATATTTGTCATTGATTAATTCACTCCAGTATTTATTGAATGCAGGTTATCTTTGAGGCCCTTGATTAAGCTTTGAGTATAATGGGGCAGATAGATTTCCAGCCAAGGTTCTGGTTCACTCCTCTTGTAAACTTCATCTTAGGGTTTGATATTGGCTTACAGCACCAAGCATGATGCTTTTTTAAGGTACTCTCATGTGAAAAAGTATAGATTCTCTCACCAATTTTGATACTCTTTTGCTATATTGTAACCTTTGAAATAACTCAGACCATATAGGTCAGTTTATTTCTTGCCTTGACTGTGAATCAGGTAGCCTGGCCACTCCCTCCCTGAATTTGTTCATTTCTTTGCTTACTTTGCATTCAACATCGAGTTCAAATGTTTTTCTTAACTCTCTCTCTCTCTCCCTTTCTCTCTCTCACTCTCTGTGTCTCTCTCTATTTTTTTTAATTTGACTGCTTTGTCTCTGCAAGTGAGTTAGTCCTTCTCTTATTGCCTCCTGCACCATTGTACAATTTCCAAGTAGCCTGTTCACTTTGGTTGTAAACAGCTGTTTGAACTAATTTACCTGACAGTTTCTCAGAGTGTGCTTGGGGGTGTGTATGTCACTTCCGTAAGTTTGTCCGTGCATTTACATCCTGAATTCAAATATGTGCATTTTTCAAGCAAAGGAATAATGAGAAGTGGGTTTTTCAAAATATGTTTATGTGAATTTCTTGATCAGACTTGAGAGCCTAAAACCAAGGATGCTGATTGATAGTAATTTCCTCAAAGTGCTTGTAATGATCGCAGTCGCTACATGGAGCTTTGTTTTGTACAGAGTATTAAATCTCTAGCACCCTTTCTCCAAGTGGAGAAGTCAATCAGCTTCCATTCCCGCAGGCAAAGGGATGCCAGACTCTAAAGTCTTAAAATGTTATGCCAACACCAGCATCTTGAAATCCTGTAGCATATACACTTAGTCACAGACATTTATAGCTAAGGACCTGGTTGAGATGATTTGTTTTACCTCTGATTTTTTTCTTCTATGCTGGAGCGATAGCACAGCGGTAGGGCATTTGCCTTGCGTGCTGCTGGCCTGACCAAGCCGGGATCGATTCCTCCGCCCCTCTTGGAGAGCCCGGCACGCTACCGAGAGTATCTTGCCCACGTGGCAAAGCCTGGCAAGCTACCCATGACATATTTGATATGCCAAACACAGTAACAACAAGTCTCACAATAGAGACATTACTGGGCCCGCTTGAGCAAATCAGTGAACAACGGGAGGACAGTGACAGTGACAGAAAACATATACTTGGGCACATTGTAGAGAACTTCCCTTATCTTGTGGGGTTGGGATAAGAAAATGAACTCAAAGTTTGGACGCATCATTTATTATTCTTTCTTATGTTTTTAAATAGTTCATTATAGGAGTTAGAGAGATAGTGCAGATGGTAGGGCACCTGCCTTGCACACATCCAGCCAGGTTAGATCCCCAGCACCCCAAGTGGTCCCCAAGCTCACCAGGAGTCATCCATCAGAACAGAGTCAGGAGTAAGCTCTGAGTAGAGCCAGGTGTGACCCCCTCAAAAGAGTTAATTATGAATTATAGACATTATTGTTAATTTATTAAAGGAGGCGATATGACACACAAATGTTAGCTATATATTTTCATTTGGGGAACATCATTGTTTAAAGTCTGTGTTTTATGAAAAACTGTAGAAGTCCAAGTTTTAAATTACTGATTCCTTGGAAGAAAATTACAGCAGTGATTATATGATTACATAACTATGGTCACAAGGCAATCTCCATATGTACCAAATAATGATCTAATGTATGAAAAATTCAAACATGGGAAATGAAAAAAGGATGAATTATAATTAAGTAAATTATTTAATGGATTTGCTCGAGCGGGCCCAGTAACGTCTCCATTGGAGACTTTGTTGTTACTGTGTCTGGCATATCGAATACTCTCGGTAGCTTGCCGGGCTCTCCGAGAGGGGCGGAGGAATCGAACTCGGGTCGGCCATGTTGGCCGCTTGTAAGGCGAACGCCCTACCCGCTGTGCTATCGTTCCAGCCCTGTTGGATATTATTCTTAAATTATGAACATGCTAATTTAAATATTTAACAAAATACTTCAGAGATAACATAATAATTAACATATTACACCTATAAAAATTGTTAAGTCATGGTAGGTGGGAATCATATTGCTGATTTTCACTTATTATTTTTTCAAGATACATTAGAGCATTTTCTTTGAAAACTACTGTTGCTTTATTTAATTGGAAAAGAATTTCATTATTTCACTTCCTTAGAATGTGAGCCCAGGGAATTCCCACTGAAGACTATAAGAAGTGGTGTGAAAGACAATGCTTATGGATGCAGCGTGGTACGGGGAGTGACTACGATTCTCTTTCATTTGTCACTGAAGTTGATTAGCCACAATAGGAAGAGAAAATTTCCTCTCTGGAAAATTAGAAACTAATCTTTCTGGAGAAATTTATATATTAGTCTCAGGAACACAATTATGTTTTCCTCCCAGTTGCAGAGAAGATAGATAAGGCAGTCAAAAAGTTTATGTACTTAAATGGGGCTGCTGTCAGGTTAAAAATGCATGGAGGGAAAAACTGCTTTTTGTACATAGTCTAAATCATGTATTTCAACTCAAAACTTATCAGAACATGCACGGAAGTGAATTGGGTTATCTGGAATATCTAGCAAGCTAGAAATGCCATAGTTTCTTTAGTAGGTTCCTGGGATTAAAAAAAAATCTGGAAGTTAAACTACAGGTTTTTTTTTTAAGCAAAGGATAGTTAAAACAAAACAAAACAATAAATATAACCTGAAAAAAATCCAGCTCATCAAAGCATAGCCAATAATCTCTAAGTTTTGTAAAGAAGTATTTTGATGAATTGGAGATAGTACTGATAATTCACTTTAGTTTTATGTTCATTCAACTTTTTATCATCTGTTTCATATAAAGCAATTTCGAATATAACTTAACTGAAGAAAAGTAGGAAAGCTCTCTGTGTGTTATTGAAGACATAGCTTATGATAAGTAAAAGTTTTTACATCCTTTGGGACTAGAACTTTTACAATAGACAAGATATTTTTAGTGTTTAGAGTAATTTATTATCATAGTGTTTACCTCATTTTAATAAGGAAATTCATTAACTGTTTTCTTGTTGTGAAAAGGTTTTTTTAAAATTTCTTAGCAAGTTTCAAAGCACTTATTTTAATATTAACACATTTGTTAGTTTTTTATAGAACCAGTTTTAGAATGTTGTTTATATCTGATTAATATGACACATTATTCTCATAAGTAGAAAAATATTAGTCAGGATTTTATGTCATTTACGAATGCATAAAATTCTGATTTTTTGTTTTTTGTTTTGGAGACACATCTGGTGGTGTTCAGCAATCATTTCTGGCTCTGCAGCCAGAGATCACTCCTGGTGGGGCTCAGGGAACAATATGGGGTGCTGAAGGACTATTCTGGGTTGTCTGCATGCAAGGCACTGTACAGTCTCATCCTATAATTGTATAACATTGTTTAATATATGAATCTAAAGCTTAGATATACACAACAAGAGGAAAAAGATGAACTTTAATAAGCCCTTCTTATAATTACCAGTCTAAAACTTTAAGCTGACATTTCTATTAAAGTTGATTTTCATGCAGCTTTTAAAAAACTTTTTTTAAAATTGAATCACCATGAGATACATGGTCATAAAGATATTCATGACTAGGTTTTGTTCATACTCCAACACCCGTCCCTTCACCAGTGTAAATTTCCCATCATCAGTGTCCCCAGATCCCACCCTTCAGCCAGCCTTCCTTCCCTCCTTCCCTCCTACTTGCCTTCCTCCCTCCCTCCTTTCTTTCTTTCTTTCTTTCTTTCTTTCTTTCTTTCTTTCTTTCTTTCTTTCTTTCCTTCCTTCCTTCCTTCCTTCCTTCCCTCCTTCCTTCCTTTCTTTCTTTCCTTTTGGGATTATGGTTTGCAGTACTGGAAGGTTATCATATATATCTCTTTACCTTTTTCAGCTCTCAATTCTTGTTCAGAGTGTTAATTTCTCACTATCATTGTCCTAATGGTCTCTTCTTTATCCTAACAGACCCCCGCCACCACCACCACCACTTGTGGCAAGCTTTCAACTGTGCAAATGAGTGCAATCATTCTATATCTGCCCCTCTGCTTATGCCTTATTTCACTTAGCATGATACTCTCCATGTCCATCCATTTATAAGCCTATTTCATGACTTCATTTTTCCTGATCGCTGTGTATATTCCTTTGTGTACATATACCATAGTTATTTTATCCAGTCATTTTTTTTCTCAGGCATTTGGGTTGTTTCTACATTCTTGCTATTGTGAACAGTGTTGTGATGTACATAGAAGTGCAAATTGAATTTTTCCTGTATGTTTCTGAGGCCTCAGGGTATATTCCCAGAAGGGGTATTGCTGTGTCAAATGGAAGTTCAATTTCTAGCTATTTGAGGAATGTCCATATTGCTTTCCAAAGAGGCTGAACAAGTTGTTATTCCCAGCAACGGTTAATTCCCACTGGTGACTGCATGCAAGACAAGTGCCTTAGCCCTTGTACTATTTCTGACCTCTACTATAAACCCTGAGTTTTAAATTTTAATTTTAACAAAATCTTAGTACTTTTTTCCTCATATCCACAGTACCACTGGTTGCATTTGTTCTTTTTTGATGTGTGCCAGTCTTTGTTGTGTAGA